ATGGAGCCGCGTAGGCGCTCGGTCCATCCAGCTTAGCTGGGATGAACACAAGGTGCGGGGTCGCGTTCCAAACACTGTTTATTTATTAGCCACACCAAATGGTGCCGCTGAACCGAGTTTTGAAGAAGAGGCTGAATTCTCGGTTGGATCAATCACTTTTGACGGGCTACAACCCGACACTCAGTACTCCGTGCTTCTGACATCATCTATCGGTGCATATGAATTAATGGAGCACCGCACTGCAATCAAAATGCTAAGGGATGGTGAGTCGCAATTGCTTGTTTCCCCACGTCAAGATCCTAATCTCTCTTTCCGCACCGTTAAGCTTTACGATTGGCGCTAGAGGAAGTGTTTTTCTTTGCGTAGGAGAAGCAGATATAACAGGAATGACCACAAGTGTTTCAACTTCCACTGCATCGCCTCTCACTTCTCACACCATTGCGAATACTGCAATCGCAGCAGCCCTCGTTGTGTGCATGGTAGCAGTGCTTGCTTAGGCCTTTTCTTTACTTAGTGAGAATCAGCCACAACTTCGCCTCTTTCCACCTTCAATGTTTTAACTAATTGCTTGTCTTCACTGGACAACTCTTCCTGCAACTACGGTTTTTCCGATTCCTGTCAATGCATCTGTCCAACATTCTCCCCTTGCCCTCAACAGCAATGTACTTGCTCAAGACGCCTAGTGGTTTCATTTTGAATAAACTTCACTCTCCGCTTCCATGTGATGCCATTTCACATTTCTTGTGCGTTACCATTCATGCACGAAACAGTTGACATTGGGGATCGGCATCTTCGTGTCTAATGCCTTTGTATTTGTGGCAGAGTGCAAGCATGCATGGAGAAAATGTCGAATGCAGTCCTTTGTGATGAAGTTATGAAAGCGACACTACTTGTGGACGCCTTCAAATGCCTGTTTACGTAGTCAGGCATGTCATGCGTTGTGTTGGTCTTAATCACACTTCTGCCCTCGTAAAAGGGTGTATTTCACCTCTACACAAGCTTTCGCCTCTGGTGATTCTCATCGCCACCGCATTCGTGTTGGATGCTGGCAATGCAGTCCGTGCTCGAGTGAGTCACAAGTGTGCAGCGATGCCGCAGTTATTAGCAGATTACGCTACGCATTGTGCTTCTTTACCAACTCTGCCAAATTTGTTTCAGCCATGCAAACATGTCGTGTACGCGCAAGGCGCTCCACGATGTAGAGGTAAGTTGCATGCAACTCCACCTTACACTTATCGCCAAGAAGTCGAACCGAATGCAAAATGTAGTTACCTTGAAGTGGATCACACGGTTGCATCATATTTTGGGATGTCGAAAAGTAG